ACCTTACTTTAAAAATTCCTCTTTTCAGGAATGTATGTAATATATATACTGGGCTACATCAAAAGGAGTGTGACCAGCAGGTCAAAGGAGGTGATCCTGCCCCTCTGCTCTGCTCTTGTGAGACCCTACTTGGAGTACTGCGTGCAGTTCTGGTGTCCCCAGCATAAGAAGGATGTGGAACTGTTGGAGCAAGTCCAGATGAGGACCACAAGGATGATCAGGGGCTGGAGCACCTCCCATATGAAGACAGGCTGAGAAAGCTGGGGTTGTTCAGCCTGGAGAAGGCTGCGTGGAGACCTCAGGGCAGCCTCCAGTACCTGCAGGGGGCCTGTAAGGATGCTAGAGAGGGACTTTTCATTAGGGACTGTAGCAGGACAGGGGGTGATGGGTTTAAACTGAAACAGGGAAAGTTCAGGAAGAAGTTCTTTACGGTGATGAGTGTGGTGAAGTGCTGGCACAGGTTGCCCAGGAAAGTGGTAAATGCTCCATTGCTGGCAGTGTTCAAGGCCAGGTTTGGCAGAGCCTTGAGTGGCATGATTTAGTGTGAGGCATCCCTGCCCTTGGCAGGGGGGTTGGAACTAGATGGTCTTAAGGTCCCTTCTAACCCTAACTATTAGTGATTAGTGGTAGCCTTTTGGCTAGCATGCTGAAGTGAAGAGGTGTACAACCTCAGTCTAGTTGTTTCAGTTCTGAGATTACATCAGTTTAGGCTCCTCACAGCAGCATCTTTCAGTGACTGGTGACTGTTCTTCAGAGTTGGTCTTACTGTAGAGATCTTTTGCTCTATCAAGAAGGTATCCCTTTACAGAGTTATCCTGTGAAAAACTTGATGTGTCTTGATTTCAGTATTTGTTGCAAGTAATACAGCACTACACTTATTAATGCTTCAGTAATTTACTGATGGCATTTAATGCTTAACATAGCTATCAATACTTCAACTGGGCTATCATGACTCCTATGAATAATCAGATAAACACTAGTTGAGTGTTCTCAGTTATAAAGAGCTGCAACTGAAGTACTTAGGGTAAAGGTGGCACTATAAACAGAAGAGCATTCTGTATGTGGGGAGAAGAAGAAAATGTGATCACAAGAGCTGTATTAGAACCCTTTTTTTAGTTGACACTTAGTTTTTAATATTGATCTCAAGAAGCTAAAAGGGGGGATGACACCAACCCACACCCCAAAATAACCCAAAACAGACTTGAAGTCTTGTCCAACTTATTTTGTGACACCTCTTTTAGCATATACAGTGATGTAAATGGATGTAAATGTGATTTACAGAAAGTATGATGGGTCCTCTTAAGTGCATTTAATTTACTAAGGTGTTCACACTGCAGTTACACATAAAATATAGTTGTGTGGTTCTTGTTCACGTAAAAGAGCAGACAATATTCTTCTGAAAATGAAGTTTGCAGAGAAGTTAGAAGTAATCAGTGAAAGATTACTATTGCTTAAAGAAAAATAAAACACCATGCCACAGACCTCTTCCTGTGCAGCAATTGCTCACCCATCAAAATACGATGTAATAGGAAAACTGTATTTTGATTATTAATCTACAACCTTCCACTGTTCTGCTCTCGTGAGACCTCACTTGGAGTATTGTGTACAGTTCTGGTGTCCTCAACATCAAAAGGACATGGATCTGTTGGAACAAGTCCAGAGAAGGGCCACGAGGATGATCAGGGGACTGGAGCACCTCCCATATGAAGATCGGCTGAGAAAGTTGGGGCTGTTCAGCCTGGAGAAGAGAAGGCTGCATGGAGACCTCGTAGCAGCCTTTCAGTATCTGAAGGGGGCCTATAGGGATGCTGCGGATGGACTCTTCATTAGGGACTGTAGTGACAGGACAAGGTGTAACGGGTTAAAACTTAAACAGGGGAAGTTTAGATTGGATGTAAGGAGGAAATTCTTTCCTCTTAGGGTGGTGAGGCACTGGAATGGGTTGCCCAGGGAGGTTGTGAATGCTTCATCCCTGGCAGCGTTCAAGGCCAGGTTGGACGAGGCCTTGGGTGATACGGTTTAGTGTGAGGTGTCCCTGCCCATGGCAGGGGGGTTGGAACTTGATGATCTTAAGGTCCTTTCCAACCCTAACTATTCTGTGATTCTATGACTATACCCTTAGGCTGATGCAAATACGAAGCTCAAGCAGTCACTGTAAAGGAGATGTAGGGCATTTAATTGTATGTTTACCAAATTTCAAAGGACTAGATGGGGTTCTAGAGGCCTACCTAGCTTGGTGATAATTCAAAAGAATGACTTCAGCTGTTAGAAAAATCCTTGTGCTTCATTACAATGCACATCATATGAACCTGCCCAAGTATCAGTACTGTGCTGCCATTTTGATTACCTTGAAAAATTAAATCCATTCATCTTGAAATGTCCATTTGCAGTAATCAAAAGCTGATGCCACACTAATGTGATGCTCTTATCAATTTAATGGAAAATGGATGTTATTTCAGATTAACTTACTGAGTTAGTTATGAGTAACTGCTCATCAATGTACTGTAAATTTCAGGTATTACCTGATTGGGAGGCTTATTCCTGTATTTTCTGGGTATCAAGGGAGAGCAGACTTTTAATCTATGTTTAGTAGTGATTTTAAATTCATGTTCTTTACCAGTTTTGCTTTCCACGCCTCAGGAAGCTTTGTCTTTTTCCCCCTTTTTTGAAACTTGTGATCTCTGTTTCCTTATGTGGACCAAGGGTGGAAGCAGAAAAGAAAAAAAACTAATCTAAATTTGATTCTGAAACTAACAGAATCATAGAATAGTTAGGGTTGGAAAGGACCTTAAGATATCAAGTTCCAACCCCCCTGCCATGTGCAGGGACACCTCGCTCTAAACCATGTCACCCAAGGCCTCGTCCAACCTGGCCTTGAACACTGCCAGGGATGGAGCATTCACAACCTCCTTGGGCAACCCATTCCTGTGTCTCACCACCCTCACAGTAAAGAACTTCTTCCTTATATCCAATCTAAACTTCCCCTAAGTTTTAACTTGTCCTATCACTACAGTCCCTAATGAAGAGTCCCTCCCCAGCATCCCTATAGACCCCCTTCAGATACTGGAAAGCTGCTATGAGGTCTCCACGCAGCCTTCTCTTCTCCAGGCTGAACAGTCCCAACTTTCTCAGCCTGTCTTCATACAGGAGGTGCTCCAGTTCCCTGACCATTCTCGTGGCCCTCCTCTGGACTTGTTTCAACAGATCCATGTCCTGTTTATGTTGAGGACACCAGAACTGCACACAATGCTCCAGGTGAGGTTTCACAAGAGTAGAATAAAGGGGCAGGATCACCTCCTTTGAGCTGCAGGTCACTCTCCTTTTGATGCAGCCGGCTTTCTGGGCTGCGAGCGCACACTGAAGCCGGCTCATGTTCATTTTCTCATCGACCGACACCCCCCAAGTCCTTCTCCACAGGGCTGCTCTGAATCTCTTTTCTGCCCAGCCTGTAGCTGTGCCTGGGATTGCTCTGACCCAGGTGTAGGACCAGGTGTAGGACAGGAATTGAAACCTGGGTGTAGTTTTGTGAGCCTTTGTGAATATGAGAGAATGGCAGTTTTCTAATATTGCAGGAGAGACACCAAAGCCATCTAGAAGGAAGAATTTTTGCTTCTGCCCCCTCTCCCCCCCCCAATTACCATGCTGCACATGCTTAAGTGCATTTATTTTTCTATTTTTTATCTGCATTTATTTATTCATTTTTTATCTGTGTGCAGTTCTCCCCTCCCAGTTCCTCCCTTGCCCTATTCCTCCCTCCAATTTATGCCAACCAATTTAGCCTTGACCTCACAAGAACTAAAGCAATTCAAATGTGCATTCATGACAGTATCTCACATGAAAACCTGATACTATGTGTCTGAATATTTATATGTAAACTTACATGTAAATATTGTTGGAGAAATCCCAGGCACAGCTACAGGCTGGGCAGAGAAGAGATTCAGAGCAGCCCTGTGGAGAAGGACTTGGGGGTGTTGGTCGATGAGAAAATGAACATGAGCTGGCTTCAGTGTGCGCTTGCAGCCCAGAAAGCCAACTGCATCCTGGGCTGCATCAAAGGGAGTGTGACCAGCAGGTCGAAGGAGGTGATCCTGCCCCTCTACTCTGCTCTCGTGAGACCTCACTTGGAGCACTGTGTGCAGTTCTGGTGTCCTCAACATAAAAAGGACGTGGATCTGTTGGAACAAGTCCAGAGGAGGGCCATGAGGATGATCAGGGGACTGGAGCACGTCCCGTATGAAGATCGGCTGAGAAAGTTGGGGCTGTTCAGCCTGGAGAAGAGAAGGCTGCGTGGAGACCTCACAGCAGCCTTCCAGTATCTGAAGGGGGCCTATAGGGATGCTGGGGAGGGACTCTTCATTAGGGACTGTAGTGACAGGACAAGGGGTAACGGGTTAAAACTTAAACAGGGGAAGTTTAGATTGGATATAAGGAAGAAGTTCTTTACTATGAGGGTGGTGAGGCACTGGAATAGGTTGCCCAGGGAAGTTGTGAATGCTCCATCCCTGGCAGTGTTCAAGGCCAGGTTGGACAGAGCCTGGGGTGACATGGTTTAGAGCGAGGTGTCCCTGTCCATGGCAGGGGGATTGGAACTTGATTATCTTAAGGTCCTTTCCAACCCTAACTATTCTGTGATTCTATAATACCAAGTAAACCCCTTGCCATAACTTTCGGGCCACAGTTGATCAGCCTTAACTGACCAGTTGATCTCCAGTATGAAGAGAGAAGTCTGGCTTGCTTAACTCCTGGTTACAACTCCTTACATAAAAAGATATGATTAATTATGATCATAAAACATGCCCAAGACCATCTCTGTGTACAGAGAACAGTGTTTTGGTAACAAATTTGACAAATTTCAAGTCCTTAAATTGAAGTGATGCAGAAATGAATGATCAGGTAAATGGATTAAAGTAAATACTATTGTGAACATGAAGTTTAATGCCTCATAGTATAATCCAGCAAGTGCGGCTTCAGTGACAGAGGAAATGGAGAACTATTACCTGTTTTTGTTTTAACATGTGCTTTATTATTTGGAAGTCTCAACCATCTGAACTACCATTATGAGGAGCACCTGTAGGAGAATCAAACTTAGAAGCATGCATTTGAAAGTCAGCATTGTCTGTTAATAACGAAATATTTCAGAGACATTGAAAATAAGCATCTTTTCTTAGCTTTACAGGATTGTTCCACAAAAACGTACATAAACCTTATCACAGTACATACAAATATTGTAGATGGATAATAGAAATCACCACCCTTCCATATGAGATACATCAAGAACAAATAGTTATCCCTTATAATGTCAGAAACATAAAAGGCACAATCATAGAATCTTTAGAAAAAACTTCGTTTATGCCATTATATTTTGATTTAAAACTGTAAGAATTGCTGTCCCAACTTAAAACAAAAAGCCTTCCACACTTGTAAATTATTAGAAACTTGTAAACCTTTACATTTTTTCCAGAAGTATCAGGTGCAAATGCAAGGCAAATATAAAATCTGTTGACTTATAAGATTACAAATACTACCCCCATGAAAAAGCTGCAATTACAAAAATATAAAAAAAATATTCTAACTCCTGTTGTTAGATCTTAGCTTCAATCTACACTGCATGACATATCCAAAGCCAGATCTGATTTGGACACATTCCTACAACAGGAATGTGCTGTTTGCCTTATTTTACATCAATATTCTGACCTCTTAGAATGGTTCTGCTTTCTTAATTTATTAGTGCCTATTAAGGATGTGGAGAGCACTAACAGATAAAAGGCTGTATTTATCAATGGATAGTAGCAACGTAAGTGTTCTCATTCTGCTGCCCTACAAGAAGTCCATTTCTACAAGGATAATTTTTTCTCTATGCCTCCATAGTAACTTTGCGTCGCAGTGCGCCATTTTCATTTATGAACCTGGGACTACTGGTAGGTTATTAAGAAGTACTAAATTGTTCTCACAGACTTCAGTAAAAACCTGTGAGAAGTATACCAGCTATGTTGTAGAGAAGTAGTTGGTGTTGCCAGGACAATTACTGGCAACATCTCTTGTCTTCCACACATAAGAGATTGGCACAGGCTTTATCCCTATGGTGATTCTCTAGCCCTTGGCTTTAGTAACCTGGATCAGCATAGGAAGTTCAGCCAGCTACAAAGGCAGCCTAACAAAGTGCTAGTAGACATAAAAATGAGTTTACTTCTAAATAATAACTTAAAAATAATGACTAGATTAAATGAGACATTCTTAATGAGTAAACATCGTAAATGCTGAGCCTAAGCCTGACAAATACTAATACTTTAACGGCTGAATACCAGAAGCTATGATCCTTCAGTCCTTTATCAGTGCTAGAAGAAGGTGTTCAGCTTCCAAATCCAGAGAAACAGAAGCTGTCTTTTCTTGTGCAGACAAACCAGCACAGATTACTAGAGTAATACAGCTGTACTCCTAGATGGTGACCTGTTTTTTAATACTGGGTTTTAATGAGCACTCAGGGTCATCAGCCAGAAGTATGACTGTGGAAGATTCAAGTGTGAGATGAACTATTGCTATCTTTATGCTTGGTGCAGGACACTTTCCTTTAAATACCTTTTTCTGTCATTAGAAAGCACCCCCAGCCTTCCTCCCAGCCTTCCTCCTGCTAAAGAACATTTGTTAGTCCTTGCCATTTGAGCAGGATTTTGGCCAGCTAACAGATCTCTTGTGCTTCCAAGCAAATGTTCTCCATAGATAAAGCAATTCTGAAATAGTGTTATATTTCACCCTACTTGAAAGGACTGACAGTACTCGCATCTGCTTTGAAACAGCATCTTACTGTGTTCCATGTAATATGAGCTAACAGGAGACCCATGGAGTTGTTAAGAAAGGAAGTGTTCAGTGTTCTTATCTTATGCTGGAATAGCGTGTTGCACAGCATGAACAAGAAGCTATTATTCCTCATTGTGTTTCAGTTTCATAAAAATAGGGTTCAAGGAGACACCATGTTCACTCCTCTGATCAGAACTGTATGTTCCAACCAGATTACGCTGCAATGGCAGGATTTCTTTTAACAGAAGTTCAAAGGTATCTGCACACATCTGCCAAAGATTACATTTTTTTTTAATAAGCACACTGTACCTACATGCTTAATCAGATCTGGAGAACACTTCATATTTAACAACACACCCCCCCCCAAAAAAAAAAATTAAACAATACCTATAATGTAGGATTTTGAATTTTTGTTTAGTAGAATTTTAAGATGAGAAACACGTTCCTTGCTAAACAATTGCTCTTGACATTTGTTTTGTTATCCCCCAACAGTAGCATTTTTAATGAGCAACTTGTTTCCCCAGCTTATTGAGTCAAAAGTTCATGAATATAGCTTCCAATCAAGGCACAAAATCCTTTACTAACTATTTCTTCTCACCGCTTTCTTCACATCCTTCCCTTCCCCTTAAAAAAAAAAAAAAAGGTGTAACAACACCTTCCATACCAGACATTAAATTCAATAGTCCAATAGGTTGTAGCAGTATTGGAGATTGGTTCTACCTATTTTGAATTCAGTTAAATCAGATGAACAGCACACTTTCAGCACATCTTTGCTCATTTTCTATATTCACCTTGAAGGCGGCAGGGGGGAATGAGGAGAAAAAGCCACAGTAGTTTCATGCATATTTTTCAAGAAACTTTATGTGGAAGTCTTTCATTTTCTCCAGTAGAATCTTCAGCTTCTCTGCTGGAGGAAGAATGGTCATTCTGAAAAATAATATTTAAAGGATAAAAACAAAACCCACGTTACCTTCAAAACAGACTAAACTGTGATCTTTGCACAGATCTTGATTAATCTCAGGACACAGCTAGTAATGTGTTTAGTATCTGTTTTGATGTAATTATCCAATTTCCTGCATTTATGCTGTAACTGAACTATATTATTAAACTAGAGCAATTTTTTCAATTGGTGAATATGCAAGAATTCAAGAACTGTTATTTTCTGTGGAGTGATAAAGAAGGTTATCAGAAATAACTGCAACTCAGTTTCCATTTTTGCGGGATTTATGCCAATAACATGTATTGTTTGAGCTCTCGGGGTGGGCAGTTATGAGTAAATACACATTTCTTTCTGAACTGAATTTTTTTTTCTTTCTTCTTCTGCATATTGAGTATGTATGTAAGACCTACAGCACAAAACTTTTTCCCCACACTTGGTACAGGCACAGACTTACACAAGACCTTTCCTAGAGCTGCATGCATCCATATACCTAATCCAGCTATCTGGACTAAATATTGTGTTGCAGAGCTTTCATGGCTAAAATTACTCTCTGTTACTTTGCTTCAGACCAAACAGGACTAAAATCCATGATAAATTGTAGCTGTCAGTGGCTCACCTGGTGTAAACTGCTGTTAGTTGGAAACAAAAGCAACAGAGTTTATGTTTACAGTTTTGGTATTAGAAGATTTAGTCCAATATCTTGTTTTGGTAAAGTAGAGAATTATTCAGCATGTTTAAGGAGCAGATTTATAGGAAGATGATACTGCCTTTTTCATGCACTTCCTCCACACGGAAACACTGTTTAAACACACCCTCCCAAAAGAAAGCAGGGCAATTTTTGTAATGCCTTAGCCAACATTAAGATTACAGGATTAGCTATTATTATTGTTTGTATTCATGGAGAAGTAATTTCAAATGTTAGTGTATAAAAATAGAATAAAACTATGTCAGCAATCTGCGAAAACACCATAAAAGACTGAATAGCTCATCTAGCAGCACAGGTCTTTGAGCTAGTTGTCAGTGCACAGAAAATGTGTAGTAGAAATTAAAACAATGTAAACTGGAACAAAAATCCTTAATCAGTAGAGAAAATACTGGCATGGTACTTAGCTTATTACAGTTTGTTTTACTTTAAAAGAAACAGAAACTGCACCTGAAATGATAACTTCCTTCTCTTTGGCCAAATCCACTTCCAGGTACAACACATATTCCAGTCTCTTCCAGAAGTTTCATGCAATAGAACATATCAGGTGCCATTGTATGAGCCTAAGGGGATGAATGCTTTTGAATTATTTGAAATATTCCCAATATACAGAATTTCATTACTGTTTTTCCTCCCGAATCTTTATCTTAAATTATTACTTTCTCTGTTTACTAAAGAGAACGAAGTGCAGTTGCTAGTAGGACAGCTCACATTGTGAATTAAATAACAGTATCTATCTCATGGAGGAACAAGACTGAAGAACTTACACGAAACACTAGCTTCAGAAGAAAGGGTTTAGATATTCTTGGTTTTCTCCTTGCTTGTAGCTTTATGTCAACTGTCTCAAAATCCTACTTACAAAAACCTCAGCAACTGACATTTGATGAGATGAAATTAATTTTAGAGGTGTGTGTTCCACTTTCATTGGCAGTTACTATTTTTTTTCCCCTGAATTATACGCCGACTAGAAAGTCCCTTGATTAATAACTATGGAAGTTCTTAAACAAATGCAGGTTAAATGCCTAATCAAATAATCAGCTGAAAACCAGCTCTGTTTATCCTCAGCTATGCTGATAGATTTCCCTTTAAAAACTGAATATTAGATGTTAGAAAATATAGCTCTAGTTAGGATCAAAAAGACTTGTCTTTCAGTAACGTAGCTTACTGGCCCAAATGCATAAAAGTAAAAATAGCAAGGAAGCTTCCCTCCCTCCTTCACACGCTTCCTGGATTGGGCTTCTTTTGCAGCATCAGTAGTACCCTGCTATTCACAATCCCCATTCTACATCCTGCCCTACCTAACCAACGTACAGGCAGCAGCTTGGACTCTGCACAGGTCCAGCTATTTACCCACCATATGACTTAATCTATTAACACTAACATCCTCCATCAACATTTTTAACCTGGAAGCCTTATCACTGTAATGAAATGCTCCATTTTGTTTTCCTCTCTTAAGATAAAGGTCATGCTATATTTAAGATCATACATAGTCAATAAAGTACTGCTTTGGAACTACATGAGTTTATCTCTGGAATAAAAAATCATCATTAGACGTGGCAGGCACAAATATTTGAAGGTTAGAAAGGATTGGGGTAAAAATGACTGACTGACCTTAGCTTCCTCAACGGCTTTGGAAGGAATAAAGATTCGTGGGAAAGCATACATAGCTCCTTGAAGTGGATTGCAGTGCATTCCTGGTATCTTGTTAAACATGTCTTCTGTTAGTTTGGCTTTTTTGGCAAGATTGTTCAAAACAGACTCCTTCTCCTGTTTAAAAGGAAGGTGTTCAGTTTGATGTATTTGAAATGGCAATAAAAACATCAGAAAAAACTATGATGCTTCAAGAAGCCTCCCCGAATTAAGCACTTTTAGGGCTTTGCAGAGCTATTAGAGCAAATGATGTTCCTAATTCCAGTCATACTCTTCGAGACATCAATGCAAAAATGCATTAGCAGGATGCAACTACAAAGCATTGTAGACAGCCAATTGCCTGCAGAAGTCTCTCTCTGCATGCCCTCTTCTTACATTCTTCCTTCAGAGCATCCACTCTTGGCTATTTTTAGAAACCACGTTAGCTGGGCCTTTGATCTGATGCAACAATGCAATTTCTTACAGCAGATTCAGTTTCATTTTTACAAGGAGAAACTCTATTTATAATTTAATACAGAATGCCATGTTGTTCTGTTTTTAGAGGCACTGGATATCCAACAACAAGGCTGATTTACAACTTTATTTGAACTTGCATTCCCGTTTAGATTTTAGTAAAAACAAATCTTACTTAGCAATTCCTATGTCTTGCTAAACACAGGAGAGAAGTTAAGCAAGAAAGCTGATCTGATAATGCCTTCTTAGGTTTTTTTTGGCTTCTAAACAAAGGAACTGTAACAGGAATAAAAAATACTTGGAAAGGTAGTCATACCGAGTTAATTTAAAATACCCTGCAGAGTTCTGTAAACTAGTGTTATTACAGGATTTTTGGAGAAGAAACAAAAGGAGAATGGTCTCTGTGCAAATTGTGAGTTCAAGTACTCAGGTTTAGGAAATGTACAAAAGAACAAGAATGTTATTGCTGACCTTTATGAACTGTGAATAAGATTCTTCTCCTGGTATTGGAGGATTCACTACAACGTCCATTGCTGCTTGTCCTGAGACTGGAGGACAAAGGCGAACAGAAAGCAACTTAACAAGCTGTCCTTTAATTTCTGGGTGCAAGTTAAGGACCTCCATGTAACCTCCTCTGTAGCCACACCTGTGATTAAAGTGAACACAAAAGTTTAGTTAACCTCAAGTGTAAAAGTACTGGAAGAGCAATTAAAGTGACTGCTGAAGTGGAAAGACAGTTAATGAGGATCTTAAAATCTGTAACACATAGGTTGTTGAAACAGCTGCTATACTGATGTTTTAAGAAGGAATTAAATGATACATCATTAAGATTTGGTATCCCATCCAGAGAAAAAGGTGTACATGCAGCTTCCCCATTAGGCAGGTTAACAATTAACATGGACTATTCGCCCTTAAGAATAAGAGCACATGGCTGTAGCAGCATTCATTTAATCAGAAAATTCTTTTTCTTCCATTTCTTCCTCCTCAGAACAACCAAATCCGAGCATTTGTAAAATTAAACATCCCAGTCATTCTTGAGCTGTTCCTTTGACTGTTGGAGACCATATTTTCCTTTATCACATGTCCAGTTTAGGACTGTAGGATTTCACCTTTGTGGAACTGAGGCATTAGGTGTCTGAAACAAATACATTTATTATTTAGTACTTTGAAAACCACTGAGTTAATCCATTACTTTGTGCTTTAAATGCTTGTCTTCCTTTTCTTAATCATTTTTAGTTAAAATTATAATAGACGGTGATTACCTTCAGGCCACTAATATGAACGGCTGTTCAACCATATTAATGAGGAAAATGAAATAAAAAAAAAACTAAAGCAGACTTACTCGCCCATGTATCCCTTAGAGGTGGAGTGAAAAGAGGCCAGCTCAACATTGTTATAGTACTCGGGTCCCATCTCATAGAGAATCTTTTTGAAAGAATGAAACTGGCATCCTTCAGAGTACACATTGTCCTGGTAAACCTGAACAGTCAGAAGACATTAATGTGCTCTGTTGCCCCAACTAAAGATAAAATATGACCTTCTAGAGAGCCAGGTCTGATGAAACAGCAGTAACACTCAAAACTTAAACCGATTAAAAGACACAAGGTACTTGTGTCTTTTTTGTTTAATAATAGCTAATTATTTGTTTAATGATAGTTACTGTAATGATGCATTTTATCTCACGTGGCCATACTTAATAGTTTAGTCTTTGGAAGAATAGTGAGTGTCTTTGTATAACTTAACTTTTTCTTGTATTTTTTAATTGATTTTCCTTCTGTTTCTTTCATTTGAAGTAATCTGAGTATCACGTTTTTAGGTCAGTTCCAGCAAAGTTCCTCCTTGTGTGTCCTTGCTCATGTTCCCTGCTCTTTCTAGTTCAACTCCAGATCAAGACACCTCTCATATTAATCCTCTGATATTAAGAATATTGCATGTTGTTCATGGCTTAAAATAATAATACAGAATCTGTTCCTTGTACTTAAAAAACACCAATACCACACATGGAAAAAAATTATTCTTAGCTGTGCATTAGGGAGAACAGAATATCCCATTACCTCATCAGCCAGAAGAAAAAGTTTCTCTTCCCAAGCAAAGTGTATCACATCTTCAGTGCTCTTTCTGTTTTGCACCTGTCCTATGGTTTGATTTTTAAAGAAAGAAGAAAGTTAGTGGAGCATTTATATGTACACAAATCTTTCCACCAAGACCAAGCTAGACTATTAGCTTTGCAGTAAGACATCCCTCTTTTTCAGAAAATAGAATTTTATCATCCAATTTAGTAAGTGTGAAATTAAAGAACATTTTTAGAAGATTTATGGTTCAAGCTAACTTAAGTCTATCTCAAGCAAAGGAAGTGTGAGATACAGTAATTTAACTTACTAAGAGTACAGAATCATAGAATAGAATCATAGAATAGTTAGGGTTGAAAAGGACCTTAAGATCATCAAGTTCCAACCTCCCTGCTATGGGCAGGCACACCTTGCTCCAAACCATATCACCCAAGGCCTCGTCCAACCTGGCCTTGAACACTGCCAGGGATGGAGCATTCACAACCTCCCTGGACAACCTAGTCCAGTGCCTCACCACCATAACAGGAAAGAATTTCCTCCTAATATCCAATCTAAACTTCTTCTGTTTAAGTTTTAACCTGTTACCCCTTGTCCTGTCACTACAGTCCCTAATGAGTAGTTCATCCCCAGCATCCCTATATACTCCATATGTAACTGATCAGTTGAAATACTCACATGCATGATGGTTAAGTGGGAGCTAGTTTCTCACTAATTAACCTCAGCTACTCAAAAACCTAAACTATTCGGAGTGCAGCAGTGGTTGCCACAGAGTTCAGAGTGTTTAGTCATGTTTAGTCATTGTCTTTCAGTGGCGAGAGGCTACAGGCCACGTCAGAGACAAGATCTTTGATAAAGACCAAAAGGATCAAGTGATTCCACAAGCAGAAGTCTACTGGAAGCAGTGGCTTCAAATGGTATCCAGTGAAGTGAGCTTGCTCCCTCCTGTCTTCCCAAATCCCTGGAGTTCCATGACACTGAACTACGTAACACATGCTGTCCTACTTAAACCACTGATCTCTAGAATTCAGTGCTATATATTTCATAGGTTTTCAGAATTTGCCTGTGATGTCAAATGGATGGAAGAAGGAAAAATCCCAGAACAGTGTTAAAACCCATCCATTAACCAAAATTGCTACAGACCTGTGGGATTTCCAGGGTTGATGATGCAGAGGACTTTCGGATTGCAGTAGGCCTTAGCTTCCTTCAAGGAACGGCGAAGTTCATTCACATCTAGCGCCCAGCAATTTTCTTCATCCAAATAGTAGTTCACCTGGATAGCATCTAGATCAGATATGGCTGCTGAATATAAGGGATACTGTGGTATAGGGATCATCACCCCTGTTCGGGATTTTCCACCTCCTGAGACCAGGATCTTTAAAATGGTCTGGGGAAAAAGTAGTAATTTAGAAAAAAGAAGAAGAAAGAAAAAGTCACACACCAGAATTAATAGCATACATTAGAATAAGTTACTGATCTCCTTCTTCAAAAAACTGGAGTTAAGGCATCCAGAAGCATCCAGTCATCTTCTTGTATCAAAAGGCATTTACTTATTTCAAGTTAAGTTACTGACTGAGAGAGGATGGTCTAATTCAGCTCAAAAGAATTCTTCTGAATGTCATGGCTTCCAAAGATCATGTCAGATCAACTGCAAGATTTAGGAATAAGCCTAAGAGAATAAGCCAGAGGGAAAATTTGATCCAGGAATATCAAGATCATTATTCTTCTACTGTCCCCAGTTGTAAGCAAACAACAGACTCAGCTAGTTCTTCCTTGTTGCCTTCCACTCACCTCACCAACCTTACATGGCCAATTACTAAACCCAGAAGTTTGAACTAGGGCCTGTGGAGGTTCTCCATTGGAACAGAGACATACAGAGATTAGCAGCAATTGTGTCCAGGTGGGAACAAAACTACAAACTCACATTATAATTTCATTTTCAAGTAACTGAAGAGACATCTTGGGACGGAAAACCAATACATTGTATGTAGTTTATGTTCAGAAGATACAGCTAGAAATGCCTGTGCTGAAGTCAGTCCACAGGATTTGTCTGTGCCCAGCAACTGTGTGTCTGTGTAGGCTTTTTACATGTGAATTAAATAAAAGAGTGCATACGGTACAGGAATGGAGAGATTTCTTGTCTTTATAATGAAGGGAGAACTCTGAAGTACACGTGCAATCAAAACAGGCATCCTTATCAATAGGTAATTGATAGTGTAAAACTAAAAATATCTCTTCAGATATAACAGCAGTATCCTTGAGCTTTCTAGCTGGTTCTAGAATGAAATCTGCCTTTCTGTGCCCCTTATCACATACTAGCTTAGCTGCTAAGCTAATGATTTAAAATCAACATAATTATGCACCCACCACTAGTTTAAAAATACCAGTTATCCAAAACGTATAATCAAGACAAAATGCAATTTAAAAACTCTGTAAAACACCCTCTGTCCCCAAAGTTATGAAACAATAGATGTTTTATCCTTGGAAGGGCCAAATAATGAGACTCGTTGTACTGCTGACTTTTCATCGCTGGTGAAATCAAACAAGCATGGTACCGATTTGACATGGTATGCTGCTATTCCTGACAAGCCATCAGGTTAAAGCTTGGCATCAAAAACTGGAAAGCCAATTCACTAGAGACAACTGGAGAACTGCTTTTATCAGAACACTGTCATTCTGAACCCTGCCACTAGATGTCATTTTGAATAAAACAACAAAACCCGAACTTTTACAAACAAGCTATAAGATGTTGCCTTAACATAAGCAAAGAACTGCTGGTTGTTCTGTGTAATGTGCATGTGTCTGTGAAAATGAAAAATGTAATAGAGACAGTTATTCCTGTCTTAATTGAGGACAAACTCTGGACCTTGCTTAAAGCCAAAACCTGATGCTTTTTTTCCAAACAAGCTGGCTACTGAAGAGATTTTGGGGATTTTCACTGACATTTATCTCCACTAGCAGAGTTTACTAGAAAGAAGAGCTGCTGACTTCTCACTTCATTCTCTTTGCTCACTTCCCTCTTTATTCCCACTTCTCTGTGCTACAGTCTTAGACCTTCTAATCTTCAGCACTTATGTATATTAACCACTGAGGACACCATTGTTTAGTCTGAATAGCCTGAATCTCTTAAATTTATTTAGGCCCCTATGCAGTTTATGCTACTTTTACAAAAGGTACAAGTTAATCTATATTAAAATACTTTGTTTCCATGTGCCTGTTTCTCAGCTGGCATCTTAAATCCCCATAACGTGATGTATCACATATCCACATAATGTGATTGCAGTACCTGTTAGACCAAACTCACTGGAGCTGTGAGACCAGATGTTCAGCAGAGATCTGTATTTCCAAAGGTAGCTGATAAATTACACCAATAAGAGACAGATTTAATTTTAACACTTACAGTAATACCATCACTTGCCCCAGTGGTAAGATATATGTTATCTGGATCTGCAGGAACCCCTCCATCTCTTCTTTCAATATATGAAGCAACATCTTCACGGATACAATTTATGCCTGGAGTGGCAGTGTAAGATCCTGTGAAAAATGAGATGAGAATTGTGTAGAATGAACAATCAGATATTCTGTTTCCTAGCAAAACTCCTGAGCTTATACTGTATGAACTATTTTGTATGTAGCAGGGCTTTGGACCTGAAGGATTGTTTTGTTTTTTGAGGGTTCTCATTTTGTGTTTTGGGGGTTTTTTTGTTATTTTTTTTTTCAAGGAGTAGGAAACGGAGTTGGTTTGTTCACAGAACAAAAAGGTTCATTTGAAATTAGACAAATATTATAATTACTACTAAAATACAAACAAAATAAACTAGACTGGTAAAAACTAGGGTTTAAAGGCTACTCTGCAAACTGGGACAGCAATACCATTTTGACTAACCCCCTGCTGTTTGCTTTATGTTGAAAACCACTGCAGAATGCCAACCAACACCTATTTAACTAATGGGAACAAGGCAAAGAGGTAGCATGAGCAAGAGAAAGTCCTTTGGACTGACCTTAGCACAAATTGATGACAAAAATAAGATTTCTATGTGCACTATGAAAATAATATACCATTTTCTCCCACAGTCTGAAACTCCAAAAATCTTAAACTGCTTCTCTCTCCCCCCATAGCCTCTCCCACAAGTGCTTTTCAGTTACTTGTATCAGAAATGTTTAGGATCACCCCAATCTATAGGCCTTGTGCAGTTTACAGAGCAAAACTAATAATCTTAAATAAAGCAAGAAGTTAGATGCCTGTGTACATCATTGCTGAGCATGTGGAATAAAGAGTAAAAATAAGGCTAAGCCAAGGTGAAGAATGGATTCAAGCTATGAAGCTTACAGCTGATAAACAACAAAGTGACAAGTGTATGTCTAATTTAGAACACTGTCATGAAGCTGTAGAATCTTCTGTACTCACTGGGTGGAGTGGAATAATTATGCCTGACTTAAATCTTACCGCTCAGTTATATGCTAGTAGTCTGCCAGATAATACTTCTGTGAAAGCATAATTCATAAAGACAAAGAACCATGGGACAAAATGGTAATTAAGGGCACAAAGTTCCCTGATGTCCTAAACATTTACTTTTATGGGACTAAGAGTTATACTGGGTCTATGCATGGGTCTCTGACCACAGCTAGGAGCTGCTGTTAAAGCAGAACAAACCTAAGCTGTCATTCCGTCTTGTGCTCCATTAAGCATTGAGTCCCATGATTCAGTGAGGATATATGGAAGACCTGAACTCAATTTTCAGGTCTTCTACTCTTAATTGTATTCAACTGATAGCTTTGATCAGAACCCAACTGTTTGCGCTGTAGAATGCAAATAAATAAACCCGACCCAAAAAACTGCATGTGCACGTACTAGATATTCTTATATGTAGGAGGGGGGCAAATTTGTCAACTGTCTGGAAAGACGTGACAGTTATCCTACATGAAAAGTAACTGTTGTCAAAGGAATCCCAGAATATTGATTGAACACAATAGCTGCTGAGGACATATCTGAGCCGTCATACGTAGGCTGGGAGTAGCAAAACTCAGTACTACAAGTAGAGTTTTGCCAAATGAAAGTTCACTGGTATTGAGGTTATTTAGTTCACATCCAGAGGTCAAGACATTCATATTAACTCTGCAGCTAAGACATTTAAAGAGGCCAATACAGGTGTGGGAACAATGCTTCAAAGAGCTTGCACATATCTAGTGAAGCCACTTTTCTGTTGGATGGACAGCTTTTCAAAATAAGGCTTTATTAGAACACAACACATCAAGCTACATGGAAGGATCAGGTTTTGTCCCTTGCTTTTTCCCAAGAAATCCAGTATCTCCTTCTCAGCCATGAAGAGAACAGCGGTAAGATGTCAGGCTAACAAGACAGTGATAGAAGTCACCTCCATTCAACTGCACATCCACTCCCTCAGACTACATGTTTACGGAGTGCTGTTCAGAGGCTGATGAGCAACTGAGACCAAGAGAAGGGGCTGATACATGATACTAGAAACAGGGAGGGTGGAGAGAAGACATAAAGCAATACAGAGATCAGTAAGGTCTATAGTGGTTTTAGTTTTCAAAAATTTGCACTTTGTCACTGCTTATCAGTAAGCCACACTATGAACTCTCCCCCTATCATTTTGCTCTAGACTACTCCCATTTCACTTGTAATCGTATAAAATATGATTAAGAAATTTCAGCACTGCAGATATTGAAATTACCTTTGTTGATTCTAATACCAACAGGAACAACTGGAACTGAAGACGCTTACCTAAGCTGTTTCCTCCACAACCCTGCAAGATCCGTCTGGCTCGCTTTTTGGCATCTTCTGGAAAACTTGGGCTGTCCAACAGGTTTGGGTATGTACACAGTGCTACTACCTAAAGTGCCAAGAAAATGTAAATTGGCCACTTCTCAATGGTTATTTTAAGTTGGTAATATTAATGTTAACTTTCCTTGGAAATGAAAATCACAAATCCTAGCTAATTTAAAACAGAGGTTATTGTTGAAGAGTTTGCAGTTGTTTTGGTAAGGACAGTGCTTACAGAAGTGAAGAAATCTTACTGGGTTTCAAGTTCGGTTCATAAGAAGTTATAGAATTATTAACTATTAGTATTACGAACAGTGAAGACTGGAGTCCAGGTGAGCTATGCATAACTCAAATACATTAAGACACAGCTGATTACTCATGTTACCTCTAAACAGCACCATCCTCCACTCTTTGTGAATTACTAGCCTGTTTTATTGACATGAAACTGTCATGGTATAAGCCCAGCCTGCAGCTCAGAACCATGCAACTGCTCACTCACTCCCCCTTTCTTCCCCTGGCTCCTGCAGGGATGGGGAGCAGAAGTGAAATAATGGAAGTCCTATGGGCTGAGCAATAAGAACAGTCCAGTAACTAAGGTATAATACAGAATCACTACTGCTACCACCAATAATAATCATGATAAGGGAAATAATGAGGGGAGAGAATACAATTGCTCATCACCTGCTGAATAATACCCAGCCCGACCTGAGCAGCGATCAGAGCCTTCCAGGTAATTCACCCCAGTCCTACATCCTGGGCATGACGTGCTGTGGTATGGAATACCCCTTTGGCTAGTTTGGATCAGGTGTCCTGTCTCTGCTTCCTCCTGGCTTCCCTCCTCCCTGGCAGAGCATGAGACTCACAAAGTCCTTGGTCAGAGTAAACATTACTTAGCAACAACTAAAAACATTGGTGTTATCAGTGCTGTTCTCAGGCTACAATCAAAAACCATCTCTGCACCAGCTACTAAGAAAGAGAAAAATGACTGCTACAGCTGAACCCAGGACAGAAACCACGAGTTTAAAATGGAATAGAACTGAGAAATATGATCAAATTTTGAAGCCCCAGTTGCATGTTCTAATAATCCTTCCCAAAAGTAACTTACAGTTACTACTATATTGGATTTCTGTGAAATAATTAAAAAATAGGTGACGATATAGAACATAGTAAAAGTAGATACATGACCTAGCAGAATTAAGTTTATGAAGGAATGTAAGACACAAAGAAGCTGTATCTACAGATCTAAGATCAGCTTAATTTCTTCCAGGCTCTCTCTCATTTTTATGCTTACATGGTGTAAGATAGGATAGGCTGGATAGGCTGTTGTCATCTTGTGGGACAGTGACTGAAGAATTAATTCACACAATCATGGAAAGGAAGAATTTCCCATTTACACAGTATTTTATTTAATAACATTGGATCTGAATAATTTGTAAGAAGCTCTGGTCTTCCTAATTTGCTGACAAGTTTGCTGTATAGCTCAATTTTATAATCTCATCACCTGGACCCCCAGTTTGATAGGGCTTCAGTTTGTCTTGGAACTCTGAATTTACATTATTATAGGTAGACTGGATTTTACATGTGTGTCTAAGGGATGCTCAGTAAATCGCGTAAGACTAGTTTTAAACCCTACTCGTGTTTTAGGAATAATACACAAAGGTGAGTTCTGTTGTAGTCTTTTCTATATGTTAACCAAACAGAGGTAAAATGTGCAAAATCAGCAACAGTACAACTAGTTGCACCTACTTGCATGCAGATCTTAAACTGTCAGATGAAAAAAAAGCATTTGCTTTTTACTTTGAAGACTATCACTTTCTTTTTTGAAGTGCATTATTGATAATGAATGCACAGACTGATAACATAGGAGAAGTGGCAGAAGAATGTATGGTTGGGGAATAATATGAAATGTAAGGGAAGCTACTGTGTTGAAAGAGGACACTCAGCAAGCAAGGCATAGGACTTCAGCTCAGAAATCAAAATTATCTAATTCTTTACAAAAGAACTATGTTAAGTCTAAGTGCATGTAGGGAATCCTTTATGCTAATACACACACCAGACAGTTTTTAAGGCATTCCTGGTAATCTAATAAAAAATCAAAAATAATTATTTTATAATATCCTTACCTGACGGAGGAAGGTGATTGGCCTCTGTCCCATTGCATGTGCATCTCCAATGTTGGCTTTAATTACCTCAGTAAAAGGTTTTTTGATTCCCTAAAAAGAGATCATTCCCAGTGCATTGTTAGGGATGAGGTAGAGGATAAGGTTTTCCTCTTTTTTGGTATCTGTCATATGACTGTAACTAAAGAGTGCCTAATCCCAGAACAAATAGAGTGTTTAATGTAAAGCTTAACACACTTTTTATACAATATTGCCAGTAAATCTTAAATGCTTTACAGAAAAAAATGCTGACCTTTAGTGCTTTCTAGAGTAAAACCAGTAATGCTACTGCTTGTTTTCTGTTTAGATTAGATATTATGAGATGACCCCATTTTTCCATACATATCTGTTTTACAAAATATATCATAGTGAGGCCTTATATGAAAACCAGCAGAAGTGCTAAATAATCACCATGAATACTTATAAGCTTCTTAATCTCTGAAATCTGAACAGCTATTTGTACTATGAAGGACTGGATACATCATGAAAACAGAGGAAAAACAGCTGATGAATGCTGATCAGCAATCAGTGCTCTTTAAAAAGCAAAATTAAGGGGAAAAAAGACAAGGAACTGACTGGTAGAAAAAACCAAACACACCATTGATTTGAAGAAAAAAGTTTAACTGAAGGGAAAAGCCAATATTACAAGATGAATAAAGGAGACAGGCAAAAACAAATTTATAGCTTTTCTAATATATATTTAAGTATGAGCGATAGTAGAAAGGCCTTCTAATAGTAACAGATTTTTCATGTGGACTAATGAACTGCAAATTTAGACTGATTCATTTTCTGAACACAATTACCTATAACAAGCAATTACCTGCTCTGCTGTGGACTGAACTCAGAAAGCCTTTTCCTGGCCTGTATAATGTTTACAGCAAGTTATTGGATTTGGATATAGAACATGTGGCTTGCAAGCCTTAACTAATTTTTGCTTTTCTACCATGGCTTAGGTGTTAAGACTTCTATGACAGACCAGAACCCAGATGTGCAAAGGTAACAATCACCAAAATATTAACAGTCACCAAGGATGCAAATTCCCAGGTATATCAAGATTTGGGCATGTACAGCTGTGTAATGTGGCTGAGAGGTTATGTGATAATGTGATTCAAATCCTCACTACAGTCCCAGTCCATCATTTAACTGATAGCATTCAGGTTTTTTCTTTTGAAATGAAATAGGTAGTTAGAAATGGCATTATGACAAGACAGTTGGACTACATGATCCTGACTCAAAAAGATTATTTTTACTTTGAAAGGGACAGAAGCACTTGTCTGTCAGCCTGACCCAGTCTCAAGGGAGGTGTATTGCCTACCAGGGGCATGGATCAGGGATGTGGCAGAGAGGCTGCCTGCTCTAGTAAGTCCCACGGGCTATTACCCACTTCTAGTGATCCATGTAGGTGCTAGGGATATAGATAGTAGTAGCCTGGAGAACATAAAGAAGGACTACAGAGCCCTGGGAGAGGTGGTTAGGGGCTCTGGAGCTCAGACTGTCATTTTGTCAATTCTCCAGGATACAGGGGAGGACCTTAAAGGCCATGAGGGTTGGCCAGGTTAATAAATGGTTAAAAGGGTGGTGTCATAGTCAGGGGTTTGGGTGTCTTGAACATGGGACCCAAGTTTGTAGGCCAGGTCTACTGGGGGCTGGTGGAGCTGCTCTGGTTAAGAAGGGGAAGAGCAGTTTTGGTAAGAGCCTTACCAGACTGGTCAAGGATGTTTTAAACTAGATGTGTTGGGGGAGGGGGGGCATCATTCCGTCCCAACACTCCCAGTCAGTTGCCAGCACCTATAATAAATGCTCAGAGCAATGCAGAGATATTCCAGCTGCTCCAGCCAATGAGCCAGCTTCATTTGGAACTCGGCTCAGATGCCTCTATACAAATGCCTGTAGCATGGGGAACAAAGAAGAGGAATTAGAGATGTGTGCACATCTAAAGGGGTATGATACAATAGGCATCGCAGAAACATGGTGGGATGGCTCCTATGACTGGAGTGTTGGAATGGAAGGGTTCAGGCTCTTTAGAAAAGACAGGCCCACCAGCCTGGGAGGGGGAGTTGCCCTTTATGTTAGGGATAGGCTGGAGAGTATGGAACTCTGTCTGGGGACAGGGGAGCAGATAACAGAGAGTTTGTGGGTCAGGGTTAAAGAAAAAACAGCGATGGGAGACATTACTGTGGAGATCTGTTACAGACCGCCTGATCAAGGGGAATCTGCGGATGAAGGGCTCTACAGACAGATAGGAAAAGCCTCACGCTCACAGGCCCTTGTTCTCATGGGGGACTTCAACCACCCTGACATCTGTTGGAATGATGGTACGGCCCGGCACAAGCAATCCAGGAGGTTCCACGATTGTGTGGAAGACAACTTCCTTCTGCAAGTAATAGAGGAGCCGACAAGGAGAGGTGCCATGCTTGACCTTGTGCTCACCAACAGGGAAGGGCTCGTTGGAAATGTGATCCTCCAGGGCAGCCTCAGATGCAGCGACCATGAGATGGTCGAATTTGAGATCCTCAGGACAGTGAGAAGAGCATGCAGCAAGCTCACTGCCCTGGACTTCAAGAGAGCAGACTTCAACCTCTTCAGGAACCTTCTTAGTAAGGTTCCATGGGATATAGCCATAGAGGGCAGGGAGGCCCAAGACTGTTGGTTGATATTCAAGGATCACCTGCTACAAGCTCAGGAGTGTTGCATCCCAACGAGAAGGAAGTGCAGCAGGAGGGCCAGGAGACCTCCTTGGATGGATAAGGAGCTGCTGAGGAAACTTAGAGGGAAAAAAAGAGCTTTATAAAAGGCGGAAGCTAGGACAGGCAGCCTGGGAAGAGTACAGGGATGTTGTCCGGGAAGCTAGGGACCAGGTTAGGAAACCAAAGCCCAGTTAGAACTAAACTTGGCTAGGGATGTGAAAGGTAAAAGGAAGGGATTCACAGGTACGTAGCAAATAAAAAGCAGATTAGAGGCAGATGTAGGCCCCCTCAGGAAGCTCTTGGGAGAACTGGCTACACAGGATTTAGAGAAGGCTGAGGTTCTGAGTGACTTCTTTGTCTCAGTCTTCTCTGGCAAAGGCTCTGACCGCACCACCCAAGTCTTGGAAGGCAGATGCAGGGACTGTGAGAATGAAGACCTTGGGCCCACTGTAGGAGAGGATCTGGTTCAAGACCATCTTAAGAACCTGAACATACACAAGTCCATGGGACCTGGTGAAATCCATCCGCGGGTCCTGAAGGAGCTGGCAAATGAAGTTGCTAAGCCACTGGCCATCACATTTGAAAAATCATGGCACTTAGGTGAAGTTCCCAACGACTGGAAAAAGGGAAATATAACCCCCATTTTCAAGAAGGGGAAAATGGATGACACAGGCAATTACAAACCAGTCAGTCTCACCTCTGTGCCTGGCAACATCTTGGAGCAGATTCTCCTGGAAACCATGCTAAGGCACATGAAAATAACAAGGTGCTTGGTGACAGCCAGTATGGCTTCACCAAGGTGAAATCCTGCTTGACCAATTTGGTGGCCTTCTATAATGCAGCAATAGAACTGATGGACAGGGATAGAGCAGTTGATGTCATCTACCTGGACTTGTGCAAAGCGTTTGACACTGTCCCACACAACATCCTTGTCTCTAAATTGGAGAGACATCAATTTGATAGCTGGACCACTTGGTGGATAAAGAACTGGCTGGATGGCCGCACACAAAGAGTTGTGATCAATGGCTCAGTGTCCAGCTGGAGGCCAGTAACGAGTGGTGTCCCTCAGGGATCACTGCTGGGACTGGTCTTGTTCAACACCTTTGTCACTGACATGGACAGTGGGATTGAGTTCACCTCAGCAAGTTTGCCGATGACACCAAGCTTTGTGGTTCGGTTGATCCGCTGGAGGGAAGGAATGTCATCCAGAGGGACCTTGACACGCTTGTGAGGTGGGCTGATGCCAACGTCATGAAGATCAATCATGACAAGTGCAAGGTCCTACACCTGGGTCGGAGCCATCCCAGGCACAGCTACAGGTCAGGCAAAGAAGAGATTCAGAGCAGCCCTGTGGAGAAGGACTTGGGGGTGTTGGTTGATGGGAAACTTAACATGAGCCGGCAGCGTGTGCTGGCAGCCCAGAAAGCCAACAGTATCCTGGGCTGCATCAAAAGAAGCATGACTAGCAGTTTGAAGGATATGATCCTGCCCCTATACTCTGGTTTTGTGAAACCTCACCTGGAGCATTGTGTGCAGTTCTGGTGTCCTCAACATAAAAAGGACATGGAACTGTTGCAACAAGTCCAGAGGAGGGCCACGATGATGATCAGGGGACTGGAGCACCTCCCATATGAAGACAGATTGAGAAATTTGGGGCTGTTCAGATAGGAGAAGAGAAGGCTGTGTGGAGACCTCAGAGCAGCATTCCAGTATCTGAAGGGGTCCTATAGGGATGCTGGGGAGGGACTCTTCATTAGGGACTGTAGTGATAGAACAAGTTAAAACTTAGGGGAAGTTTAGACTGGATATAAGGAAGAAGTTCTTTATTGTGAGGGTGGTGAGGCACTGGAATAGGTTGCCCAGGGAGGTTGTGAATGCTCCATCCCTGGCAGTGTTCAAGGCCAGGTTGGACGAAGCCTTGAGTGATATGGTTTAGTGTGAGGTGTCCCTGCCCATGGCAGTGGGGTTGGAACTAGATGATCTTAAGGTCCTTTCCAACCCTAACTGTTCTATGATTCTATAGCCTTAAATTTAGCAGGAATTGGAAAAAAAAAAAAAAAAACCAAACCCGAATCAACATTCACTTACAATAACTGAAAATGACACAGACAATCCATCATGTCATTTGCTTTTGTTTGCTGACCTGAGTGCTTAAAGAAGAGTTGTATTTCAATCTTAAATAAGGAAATTAGAGCAGGGATGCCAGATAAAGATTACAGGTATCTGAGGCTGAAGTTTAGTAATTTGTGAGCAAAGCAAGCAGCTAGAAATAGTTTCTTTTCAAACTATCTGGGGTCTACTGATACCTCAACTTTGTTTCATTTCAATTCAAAATTAAGCAGGAAAAGAAAGATAAATGTAAAAGGA